TTGCATTCGTCATATATCATTAAACTATTAGTGCTTTGAAATTAAGAACCTCCTGGTCCCTCCATTAGAGTCACATCTTCTTTATATCCTTGTCTTGGTATGCAGCTGGCTTCCTTTAATCACATCTTCCTTATCTCTTTGGAATCTGCTTTTTGATTTTGCTGGCAAGTGGGGCACTCTCTGGCTTCACATGCTCTTTGTAAGGTAGATATGCATCCTGGCATCTGATGTGTGTCAAATTTGTTGATATAATCTCTAAGTACTTCGGATTTTTGCATTCCATCATTTGTAAGTAGAGTATATCCTTCATATTGACATAAACATCTAAATCTTTTTGTATAAAGATTTTTAGCCATATTATAAAGAACTTTGTATCCAAGAACTCTTCGGTTCTTCATCCATGCTCTGGTAAATTTTGGTACTGGTTTGTTAATTACTCCCATATCCATAGCAAAATTCCATCCAACATATCCAATTGTAATAATATGTTCTGCTGGATAGAATACTCCTCCATCTACTTCTGGACTAAGGGTATAAAATTTTAAATATATGGATCTTCCCTGAGCATACTTGGAAACTTCAGATTTGAATATGTCATCAAACTTTTCAAGTTCTTTAAAATTTTTATCTGGATAAATTAAATCCAAATATCCATAGTCAGCCAATAATTATACAATTGATGGATCGGATCCTTTCATCATTATTAACCTTGGGTAAATATGATCACCTGGTGAAATGAAATATGAATCAGTTGCTTTAATATGTCATCAAACTTTTCAAGTTCTTTAAAATTTTTATCTGGATAAATTAGATCCAAATATCCATAGTCAGCCATCAATTTTACCATTGTTCGTTCGGATCCTTTCATCATTATTATCCTTGGGTAAATATGATCACCTGGTGAAATGAAATATGAATCAGTTGCTTTTAATTCATACATCATTCTAGTGACCATCTTGTATTCGTCTTCTTTTGGAGACAAAGGGACTTCGTCTTCCTCATCTGGTTGGATCCTGATAGATTTAGAATGTCCTTCATTGATAATAATCTTTTTGGGACTTTGAATAGTAATATCCTTTTTTGGTCCACTGCTGCTTCCGCCTGGTGGATCACTCCGTATTTGTACCTGTTTGGTATTAACCTGTTGGTATCCAATAGTATCTTTGGTATCTTTGGTATCTGATGATCTTAATTGAGCTTTAATAGCCTCAATTTGATCAATAATATCATTTGTAACTTTCATATGTGATGAACTTATATCCATCATAATTTTAACATTATGTTGTAATATTTCGTTCATCTGGTCCATCCCATATTTGATATCTTCAGCTTCATCCTTGGCATAAAGAGCCATGGCTTTAAGCTCATCTAGTATTTTTATGGTGTTATCCATCTGCAAATTCAATATTTCTGCTTAAAAAATCTGCAAGAAAATTGTTAATCCCTTTAATATGGATAATTTCAAAGTTATAAAATGATAAATAAGCTTGCCATCTGTGTAATCTCCTATATTGGGGTTCCATTGGTAATTTATTCCTGACTAATCCTGCAACTTGAGAATTATCAGTTTCAACAATAAATTTCTTAGATAATAAGTATAATGAAAACTTTTTTATTCCTCTAATAATTGCTAATAACTCTTTTTCATGTGTGGTGTAATTTATCTCTGCTTGGTTAAATGTTCCACTTCAATATCTACAAATTTCATTTAAATCTGTTTTTAATATTGCTGCCCAATATTTATCTGAGGCATCAGTATTAACAATTAAATTATCTTTTTCATCTGGTAGTCTAAGTTTTGGTAAATTTTTACATTCTTCTTTTAATGATTTAACTATTTCTGTATGTTCATTATTCCATCCCTTAGTATTTGTTTTTCTTAATAAAACCTGTATCTTATATCTCTTTTTTGAAAGATTTTCAATAAATCCTTCAGCATAGTTTAAACATCCTAAGAATTTTTGTATTTGTTCTTTGGATTCTAATTTATTTGGGAAACTACTTATCTTTTTAGATATATGAGTTTGTAATTTGATTCCTCTATTATCTATTGTTAATCCTAGAAAATCAATTTCTTGTTTTTCTATAATAGCTTTCTTCTTAGAAAGGACAATTCCTTCCTTTTTACATTCATTTATGAATTGTATTAAATGGTTCCTATGTTCTTCTTTATTATTGGAACATATCAATATATCATCTACGTATACTATCAGAAATTTATTAAATTTTCTAAATATATCATCCATTCTTCTTTGATATATTTGGGGTGCATTTTTCAATCCAAAAGGCATAACTAGCCATTCATATTTGCCTTAGGGTGTACTAAATGCTGTATATTGTATACTATCTTCTTCCATTTTTATCTGCCAAAATCCTGATTTGCAATCAAATTTAGAATAGTATTGTTTTCCTTTTGCAAGATTTATTAAGACTTCTTTATTTGGTAAAAAGTATCCATCAAATCTAGTATATATATTTAATTCCTTGTAATTTATAACCATTCTAGCTTTTCCTCTAACCTGCTCAGAATGTTTCATAACCATAAAGGCTGGGCTACTATGGGGTCCATTACTTGGTCTAATAAGTTTTTGTTCTAGTAATTCTTTTATTTGGACATTGAATTCTTGTGTATCTTGTATAGTATACCTCATTGGTCTTACTCTTATAATCATATTTTCTATTAATTCTATTTTTGCT